TCCCCAAGACTCATTTTCTCTGACATCGCCATCGACATAGACACCTCAGGCACACGTCTCCTGTCAACCTTCTCTGTCCTTCTCTTTATCTCTGTCAAGTTGATCAACTGCACATGCACCCTGTACCACCTCGTGTAAAACCCAATCAATCCCAGTTCGAGTTGCGACCTAGCGTCCTCTACCGCCTCTCGTTTGGTTTGGTTTGGTTTGGTATCGTTCTCAGGCGGGGGTGCTCGCTGGCCAGGGGGTACAGACAGACAGATAAACGCCCTGGTGTAATCGGCTGTTTGGCAATTGGATGGCGAGATAAAGTGCCAGTGCCATATCCTGCCTGCCAGACCAAAGGTACCTCGAGTATTTACGTTGTGTAAGGCAAGGCCAGGCCCTTCTTTAATAAAACTAGGAGGTACAACTTTCCCAGGTACATCCAATGCTTTGATTACATTGGATACTGCGTATATTCTTACAGAGGACGCTTCACTTCGCACTTTGGGTTCAGTTGGCTTGTCCGCATTCAGTCTGTCTATGAGCAATGTCCCAACTCAAATTCATTGCCGTTGTTGCTCTTGCGAAGAAAAAAAGGTTGGGCACTGCCGGCCTCAACCCGAAGCCTACTTTGCACTACGGATACAGTCTCCATGCCCCTCTCCGATTCCTACCCTGCTTCCGAGAGTATCGTATCTAGCGCTATCACCCTCATATGCTCGCTCATCTCAGTGCTTGTTGTATCGGTATCTCTGACATGTACATGCGTACCTGACTAAAAAAGTACATTATTTGATATTATTACTGCAACAGCCTGGGCTAGCACAACCTAAGACAACCCGGGCGCCAGCCAACAAACGCATTTCTTGTCATGTCGGCCCACCCCTGCCCGTTTTTGCCCTCTGTTTCTCACTTCTCTCTCACCTGCTGTTTCTTGGCTGGACGTGAGGATCCGAACGGGGCAATCGCAATCAGTTCCTTACAACACGCAACAGGGCCCTCTTGAGCCGACGGCAACTTTGCCCGGTTCAACGAAGCAATTGACGCAACTCCAACCGCCGCGCTCCCAACAGCCGTGCCACACACACTCTCCAAAACAAAAACCTCACAACAACTGGATCAGCTGGTTCTGACTGCTTCTATTCTTCACCATCATCGTTTCGCATCCGTTTTCGGGTTACGCCAATCTCGGCTTGAGCGCCCTACCAGAGAAAGGAAAAAACGCATCAGCTCCCATTTCCGTCCATTTGCCCCCCGTGGTCCCCTCCTCCTCCACCCCCTTCCTTATCACCCACCGATCGTGTCTGATGCCATGTAAGAAAAAAATTCGGCCATCGCCAAATCCAGGATCAGTGGGATGGGACTTTGGGAATTGCGATGACGAGTCCAACCTGGATCTCCGACCCAGGCCCCATGTCCCACGTTGTAACTAATAATATTATTACTTTACCGGTGGATCTCCGGGTTCAGACGCTGCATCAGCGCATCTGCAATCGCATCATCGCCGGGGGTCCCGTTTTGTTCTTTTACCCTCGGTCGAAAGAGAGATAGGAAGAAAAGGACACAGAAGAAACTGCACCCACCCCAGCTTCAAACTCACCGTAGCATTGCTAATAAGCATGTCATGCCAACCCTCTCTTTCTCGCCGAGCATGGTGAGTCGCTCGGCGCAACTCCCGTTCGTTGCTTGCTTCTCCCGCCGCCGCGCCCAACCTCCAACGCATCCAAAACAAACGGGAAAGGGGGGCGGGATCCCGCGCATCCTCTGTAGGCGGTTATTTCTTCATAAAAAAGCATCGTTGGCAAACGGGCGGATCTGCAATCCCTCAACTCGAAACGCAGCCAGCGACCACATCAAGAAACTCCCGAAACTAGGAAGCATGATGGTTGGTCACCGATTGAACACCTAACGGTCTGCATTATTCCCCCTTCATACTCGGCCAGGCAGCGTTGTTTCCACGGCCCGGTTACTGTCTTGGGATTCAAGTCAGCAACTGAGGCCGAAAATATATGCCGGAGGCCCCAAAACTCCACCTTCCCTCCGCCAAGACCACTTGTTCCATCCTGTTTCTGTCCCTGTAAATTAGGCCTGTGCCAGGTGATTGACTGTGTCCCGCCGGCCTCTGCCGCCCCGCGCTTTCCGTGCAACGCCGCAGAGGCCGGGAAGGCCCAAGTTTGACTCCAAAGTCTATGGGGGTTGCAGAGCGGCCTTTCAGGCCGCCATAGAAGCAACTCTATCCATAGCGGTTTGTTTTAGCGCATTAGAGGGCTTTACTGTGGCGAAACTCGAGTGCGAAGGGCGCTTTCCTGTTGTTCCTGACACTGCCAGCCTGGTATTACAGCGAGCGCAGTAGCCGCCCTGCGCAGCCCCCGCCGGCCCACATCCGCACCCGCCCAACGACGCACTCACTACTGACACCGCCGGCAGGGGCTCCCTTGATGGGCACCTTAATCAAGGCCGGAAAGCAAGGCAGCATGCCAGAGTGGTTAATGGGTAAGACTTGAATTAGTAATCAGTTCCTATCTTATGACTTCGGTCGCGCAGGTTCGAACCCTGCTGCTGTCGCATCACATTTTTTTGCTGCTAAGAACAATTGTATTTGCACCCTGGTGCAACACGACTCGCTCCAACCAACCTTTGTGCCTTGAATGGCATTGCGACAAGTGCTTGCATGCTTGTAGACATGCTCACAACTCTTTTTTCCCAACTTGGAAGAAGATAAAGAAGTCTCATTCTGGTTGTGAGGCTAGTGTGTGATAATAGACCCGGGGAGCACAACGCTGCTAGTGGCGTGTCCCAACAACCATTCACGTTGGAGATGAGACAACAGTTCTTCGGTGATAATGATGCGACGCCACATCATACAACCAGCTGAGCCATCTCGGACTCCTATGAAGCGGTGTGTGTTGGAAGCCTGTATTCGATCATATGCGGACGCCGCTGATATGCCGTCGCACTGAGGCGGCGCAGCGACAAGGGATAGGCGACCGTACCCGACCCCAGCCAGGCTCTTCGATTCATCCATCTCACTGACTTAATTGCAGCCGCACAGCACAGTACCTTTTCGGGTTGACTTGTATTGGTCCAGAGTTGCAGGCGCAAGAAACCTCCAACGCAAGTACTGAGTACCCGGGCGGCAGAGAGCTCGTTCCCAACTTCCAACAGCAAGGGAAACTCAAAAATCAATCAAAACAAGCCCAGTCCCGTCTTGTCCACTGAGGAATTGCTGCACCAGAGAACCAACACACTCGCGCACCCTTGTCGCCGCCGATGTGAATCGTCACCTGAGGAGGGACTTTGGTGGTCTGGTCTCCACGACTTCCGGTCCCCTTTTCCATGGCATGGAAGCTGATTAGATGCAACTCGATAGCAGCTCATCAGCAACTCGACATGGCCTGCGTCACCCTCATTGAACGTGTCATCCCATGTCGAACGTCGAAAGGCGACTCGGACCACGGAGCATTCATTGTATGGTCCAAGGGCATAGAGCTGATAGATGCCCGCATCCCCTCACCTGAAATCCAATCTCTCTCGCCAGTCATCAATCAACTTTTTTGACTAACCTGAACCCGGAAACTCGCGCCCAGAAACTCGCACCCTGGATTGGCTGCCAACCTAAACCAAAAAGGATACGATTGCGTGCCCTCGCGCACCCCTGCAGCCCAATTATTTCTCCCAAATATTTTTTTTTCCCTCATCCTGCTTGCTCCTGCCAACTCCTCCCTTCGATCGCGCCTCATTTTCTTTTCGATCAACTTTTTTTTTCCCATGTGACTGCGAACAGAAGTCCCCCCTCCCCACCCCGTCATGCAACCCTGATTGCTTTGAGAGGCTCTCGGCATGGGCTGTGACTGATTTGCTGTGCAGTGAACTAGCCCAGCCGTTCAATTCAATTATCCGCGTAATGTTCTCGTTTGTATGAGTGGCTTCAAAGTAAGATTGTATGCCGTCGAAACTTACGTATGCTTCCTTCCTGATTTGCGTCTCATCGCATCTGACACCCACCGCCCACCCATCCAACCCAACCACCCCCTGCAACTCGATGCGTTTTGACAGGCAGCACGCATTCACTCCTACGGCACTTGCGACCCCTTCAGGCAAGTGGCAAGCAGGGCCGGCGGGATAGTTGGGTTAGCTTAGCTACAGAACACACAAGATATAATTCTGTTCAGAATTCTGCTTGGTTTAGATTGTGAAGACGGTTTGGCCAAGACTTGCTGCGCGCCGCGGCAGAAGGCAGGTGAAACTTGTGATTTATGCCAAAATCACGCGATTTACGTGAGGAACTTTTTCTGCTCGTCCAACACAACCCGATGCAACCAACCAAACCGGACACAACCTTGAGCGCGTTGAAGATCTTCGCTGCAGAATGTGTTTGTTGTGCCACTGTATTATGTAGGTAATATGTAGACTGTGTAACGCAGGTCGACAATAATAGCCTTGATTTAGCGTAACGAGATATTTGACGAATGATTCTGCGCTGCGGCCGGCTCAGATCGTTTCCTGCCTGGGCAGTTGTCCCACGTGTGCAAACAGATCGACCTGAGAAAAATACAGACCGTTGAGAAGAGGCCAGCTTGCAGAGTTGAATCACGATGGCGTGCTTGATTTCGCCAATGACTCATTCTGCTTTGAGACAACATGGCAGTTGATGATTTGTGGTTCGGAGGGTTATCAAATTGTTCGGACCCATGCGAATGATGAACTCTGTTGACAAGGACTATGTCGAGACTTTGAGGATGTTTCCACGATGCTGAAGTCAGTAAGAAAAGTGCCCTTGAAGCATTGCAGATGATGAAGGAGGTTGAAGTTCTCGTGTCATAAGGTATCGTCATCTATCGTAGCTGAAGCCCTTCTCTTTAAACTCAAAGCCGCGAGGCTGTCTAGACATAGCGCATAGTTCTACCATGCCATGATGTTGGGTATCTATTCCAGGCCGTCTGATGATCCATGCAGCCACTCCGTCTTTTCTCCCGCTCGTCAACGGCGCGTCATAGGCCCGGAGCGAGGCTCTTTCACCGACCCCGGCCCCGGCCCCGTCCACGTCCCCGGCCTCCGCGGCCGCCTCTCCCGCCCTTTCCACCTCGGAACGCACCCTTGTCGAAGCGCTCATACAGCTGCTCCTCCCCAAACGCCGCCTGTCCGAATCGCATAAAGTTGACCAGTCCGCGGTCGACCACGGCGATCAAGACGTTGCGGTGGCCGTGCCTCAGGCGCTGGTACATCCTTCCCGGGCCAGCCATCGCGACAGGGTCGGGGGGTTCGTACGGCGAGGCGCCCAGCAGCGCGGAAACCTCTTCGAAAGAGGGCACGGCGGTGTCCCGTGCGTCCGCGACGGCGATGCGGATATCGGGCAGCGGCAGGTCCGTCACGCGGATGTTGGGGTGCTTTGACGGCTTCCAGACGTGCCAGCACACCTTGAAAGGATCCTCTGGCTCTTTCGTTTCCGACGGGGCCGTGGGTTTGTATCGCGACAAGAGCTCAAGCTGCTTGTAGATGTGGGTGTACTGGCGGTAGACGCCTGGTCGAACGAGAGGCCCGTACGGTGCGGGTTTAGCCGGGGCGCGGTCCAGCAGTGAGACGAGCCATTGCCAGAGAGACTGTTTCGGTTGCTCCGGTTGAGTTTGTTGGGACATGGGATCTCGTGGCGCACGTTGGACATGATATCCTAACCGCTTTAGGTGTGAGTACACCTGGTATTTCGGCAATGAGATCTTGCCCCTCTCGCCGTCCAGGCCGATGAAGAGTGAGTATGCGGCCTGGAGACTCAGAGGCAAGCCAACGTCGAACTCATCCTCGGATTCCGCCTCCTTTTCAGCATCCTTCTCTTGCTCCTCAGCCAGCTTCACCTCTGGCGGTGGCAGAATGTCCTTCAGCTCGCGGAACGGCCACCAGAGCTCCAAGCTACCCCTCTCAACCAAAAACAGCGCCTCCTCAGGCAGGAGCCACAATTTTCCCACCGCTGGCCTCGGTGCCTTGAGTCCTCTGATCACGCGTCCCGTGCTCTTCGCCTGGGGTCCCTTCAGCTCCTCGACAACGACTACTCTCTCCTCGGCATAAAGCGGTCTCGTCTCGGCCAAAAACTCCTTCAGGTACTCGGGCTTCGCAAGCCCAGAGGTATCGCCCCGCTCCACGATGCCTTCCAGCGCCTCCGGCCAGTAGTCCGGGAAGTACCAGCCCTTGCTCCACGCATCGCGGTGCACCCGGGTGTAGCTCAGGACCTCCTCGATGACCTGCCGGCTCGCCTCGAGCTGGTTCTCTTGTGCCTTGGTACCGTGTGACTCGAAGTCTTTCTGGCCCTTGCGGATGGCCTGAGTCGCGACGCCCTTCTTGTTGAACATGGACGCGAAAAGGCGCATGTCGAAAACGCCCTCGTCCTCCGCTTCGTCGCCGGCGCCGGTCTCGTTGTTCGGCTGGGCGACGGGCGCCGCGGTCGGGTTGTCGTCGTCGTCAAGCGGCATTTTCGCGGTGGTGATGTCGAATTGCTATTTTTGGTTGCCTCGAACTCGCCGTCGCCTGGCTCAGGGCATGGACTCTGTGATTGACCTTCCCTCCGTCTCCGTAACGGGTCGTGGGGTGCGAATGTTCTTTGCGCTGGGGTGTGAGTCTTCGCCGATGAACCCCTCCAGGTCGGAAAATTTTGGGCCAGGCGCGGTTCAGGGAGCTTGGGCCAATGGAAATAAATTAGCGGGTAAGAAGCCGGAAGACCGTTGTTAATTGAGCCCGCCGCCAACTCGTGTCCGGCATGTTATTTTGCATGATGAAGGTGACTGGTCTGCAAAGCTGTCATTTCTCTTCAGTTGATTCGGTCCTCGACTGCTCTATTTTAGAGTTTCATTGATCAACCTGCGTTGTGGAATGCTTCCCTGGCTATAGAGGGATTCGGGAAGCTCGTGTGATTCGGGAAGTGTGTTTCGGAGCACATCAAGATCACATTCTCAGTGCATCACACTCAGCTTAAACAGAATGACTGGAGATGATTGGGAGTAAAGGCCGTGACCTGATGGCTGGTATTCAAAACGATACGCTATACATGACGGTGGTCACTAGCTGAGCTCCTAAAATGAATAGAGAATATCGGCAAAAAAAGATTGCATTGATGGAGACGAGATTCGAACTCGCGAGGTTTCCCACTGCGGGCTTGAGGTATCAGATGATAACCTACTGTAGACTTTGTTAGTAATAGAGTCGAACTCGAACATCTGAGGAGATACGTACAACACAGCGCCTTAACCACTCGGCCACTCCACCGGAGGTGTTTGTTGACTTTCGAGCTCGATTTGAATGTCAAGAAGGTTCGGGCAAGTGCGGGGGTTTGCGGGCAGGTCATCCGACCGCTGCGGGACGCTAGGCCGAGTGGGGAACGCTCCAAGGGGCCGCTTCTATTCGCAGCGTCCAACCGCAACCCTTGTGTCTTCGACCTATCATCCACAGCTGCGCCCTGTATGAGCGACACACGTAAGACTTACTAACAAGAGTGCGGCTTGCGCGATTCTAGCAGTGCTTTGCCCGGTGTAGATTATTTTTTCTTTCCTCGACAGTGTCCACCAAAGGGGTTCAGCATCTCCCCTTCTCAGTAGTGGAACGACTCTTCGGTGCGAGTGCTCGGCCCACTAACATGCCATGAGATGTGAGACAAGCATTCGGACAACAATGGTTACAAGCTCAGGAAAACAACATTAGTGGGTTGTAGATACATTCCACGCTTACACAGAGATGCAGAAGCGTTCTCATCTACCTTTTGTGATACCACCTTATCATGAATCTGGCAGGTTGATGGATACGACGGTCATGCCCCATCGTCAAGCGGGGCCGCGGCTTCTTAAGCTCAGTGAGCACAGGAACTTTTCATTGCCTTCCTAGGCCTGGATTAGTGGTTTAATGTGCGGTTAGCGGAGACGAGGCCTGGTGTTCGATTCACACATCTCCAAGCGTGTCTGCTTCGGCAGGCACGCGACTTTTTTCACCTTTTTGTAGCACATACGAGCAACCATTTCACTTTTCTCGGCTTTGGGAAATTGCTGAAATATCAAAAATATGAATCTTGTCTGCAGGACTCAATACTCGTCCTCTTCGTCTTCATCGCCACCGCCATCGCTGAAGACGGCTCGACCACCCAGCTTCCTGTTACCAGATTTGGCCTGTGCGTGACATTCCAACTCGAAGTTGGATTCGCGTGGATTGAAGAATCTGCGATGAATGATATCAAATCAATTTGCATCTTGAACTTTAGGTGGCTGTCAAGAGGTCGTTTCCTACGTAGTTGGCGTTGACGAAGCTATTGCACTGACAACACCAGGCTCATTCAATTCCAACATGGTGACCTTGCTGCCGTTATAGTTCAAGCGAACTTGCATCTCCAATTATGGCACGTTGAAATGGTGTGTTGAAGAGCACGGGGTTTTGCAAAGCTGGAGAAGTGACTTTTTCTTGTGTAACCCCAAGCTTGTGACGGAATTGAAAGGGTTTGATGAAAGCACTGCAACCCGTGTGGGCACTTTTGGCTAAGGGGCCGGGTTAGTATATCATAATCATACTGTTCGGACATGGTCCCTGTCTTCCTGCACAGTCTCTGTCATTGTTATCGTCGTCTTCATCGTTGTACCTGTCTTCATCCTCACCCTAGTCATTCTGATCATCTCTGTTCGCCCGGGCAGAGGAACTGTTTTGCATCTGGAACTGTACGGCAGAGGGAAGGGACAATGAAGACAAGGCATTCCGTCGATCCGGAGATCAATACAAGTTGGTCACGGTCAAATTTACTCGCAAGCTTATTTCTCATATGGAATGATGCAAAATAGGTATCCACGGATATCAATAATGTCTCAAGAACTGAATACAGGCCCTCCATATGTAACAATCCTCCGAACAACCAAAGCTCTCCTAGCCGCACACTTCATCATTCATATCTCTCACCCCTTTTAGATATTTTCACAGTCACTACTTAAGCGGAAGTAACAGCGGGAGCGGCGGTAGACGAGAAGCCGGGAGGAGGTCCTCCAGGTCCGCCAGGTCCGCCGGGGCCGCCGCCGCCACCGCTCTGGTCGACACCACCGCCCTCGTAGTAGTGCGCAGCAGCGCTGACCTGGTCGTTGTAGTCCGCAGTGCTATCGATGCCGATGGTGATCCACATGAGGAGACCGTCCTGGAGGTCGTCGCCGAGCTTGACGTACTTGAGGAAGGGGTCGAACTCGGCGGTGGCCTCGCCGGCGGCGATGCCGTCCTGGAGGTTGGTGGTGAGGGTCTGGCGGTTGCTGGCGTAGGGCTCGAGGAGCTCGACCTCGGAGATGATGCTCTGGTCGAAGAAGATCTGGCCAATGTTGCGCGCGGTGCCGCCCTCGAAGGTGCTGTTGGGCAGGATCTCGGCGCCGTCGGTGGACATGATGTGGATGTGCGTGGCGCGGCCGGTGTAGTGGCCCGGGAAGATGGTGTCGAACTCGACGACGCCGTCGGAGTCGGTCTGCTGGACACCGCGGCCGTGGGTGGTGTTGAGGCCGCCCTGGCCCTGGGCGGAGACGCCGGAGTAGACGCCTGTGGCGTTGCAGTGCCAGGCGTCGATGAGCTGCTCGGGGACGGCGCCGCAGCCGTTGATGTCGATGAACTGGATGTCCAGGTGGACGGGGACGCCGCCCTGGCCGTCGGTGATGTCGGTGCGGATGAGCTCACCCTCGACGTAGTACGGGCCAATGGTGGTCTCGGGGACGAGGGTGCAGGTGGCGTTGGATCCGAAGATCTCGTCCAAGGGGGTGTCGAGGGTGTAGCCGGCGTCCGAGGCGTGGTCGATGGCGGCCCACTTCTCGAGGTCGGCCTGGGCTCGCTTCATCATCTTCTGGCCGTGGAGGCCGCGTTCAGCACGGAGGCGCTCGGCGGTGGCGGCGCGGCGGTCGAGGGCGCGCTGCTTGAGAGCCAGGGCGGCGGGGGAGTTGGAGCAGGCATCGAGGGCACGCTTTCCGACGGCGGTCACCTTGGAACGGAGGGCGAGCTCGGCAGCGATGTCCTCTGCGGTGTGAGTACCATGGGCAGCGACGTTGCCCAGGAGGGGGGAGATGGCCAAGGCCGCGGCGAGAGCGGTGCGAAGAGCCATTGTAAGTCGGTAGAACACACGGAGGAGCAGGCGATGAGGGCTGTAGTGAAAGACTGAAGGAGGTGAAGAGCCTGATGAGAGAGACTCGATTGAAGAGGAGATTCCTGCCTCTTCTTATAACACCGTCCTTCTTGGCATCTTCATGAACCATGATCTGCTTCTCTACGGTGCCTACCGAGCACTCTCGACCAGCTCCTTGCCATCTCCTTGATATTTTCGTCTTGGCAATACCATGCTATGCCGTGATCAATGGCCGCCCATCAGGAAACACACATCTTGCAAAAGCAACGACATTCCGCAACGAGTAGAGAAGCAACCCCCGTCCCCACACTCCCGCAGCGGCGTCTCCAAGACATCGTCGTCACCTTCCCTCATCGATGTTTCGCCGGCGGCCAGGGACGTCGAGGAGAGGATGAGTTGGTGGTTTAGCCGCGGAACGTAGCGCCCCTCGGAGGCTAGCAGGGACCAGCTTCCGCCACCCCGCAGGACCGGGGTGAATCTTGTTCGGAGGGGGGGATCGCCTAGGATCATCTAATGTCCAATGACAGCGGACGTAATTCCAATTGCGTTGCGTTGGTCAAATCTATGCGGCACCGTACGTGGTAGTGTAAAGGCATAGTTACAAGAAGGCGTACGGGAACGCGGTGGGGACGCGGAAGGAGAGTGGGTCCCGGGGAGGATCTGGCGCATCGGGATGTGGGCGGGTGTGGTTACGCGGCTCGGCCGAGACCCAGGAGCAAACAACACCTGCGGCGGGAACTGCTCAACGAAGAGGAAGGAGGAAACCATCAAACAGCGGTTTGATGGGAACCACATTACGTGGACTGGGTCGCGCTTCACACTGCCAAGAGCCCTTCTAGCCACAACCAGCCAAAGACGGGTTGACGTGCTGGCAGATCCAATTTGCTACGGTTTCATCTGTCGAGGGGTTTTTGATTAGTACAGGCGTTGAGAGGAGGCTATTCTGGCGGCGGAAGCACGGTAGTTACGCTTGTGGAGCCGTCGATTGCCTCCCGTTGGCGGCGCAGGGCCAGATATGCTTGAATATTCTAGCCCCCGGCGATCCTTGAAATGTGGACTGGCGCATGTGAGGCCGGATAGGTGACGCGTCCTGAGCGAATGAGGCAGCAAGTGAATGTAATAGACGTTGCTGAATGGAGAAGGCGGACTGCAGGCCCGGAGAAATAGATTGTATGGTTATTATCTTACCCGCTAGATAGGCCTCGGAGTAGTAGTTCAAGGATGGAAAGTGGTAATGGCGTCCGTACAAGTTCAAGCTTGTTGGTGATCTCTCATGATGGTCCCGGTTATCGAGGGGTAGTGCAACCGCTTGCCCCTTTCTCTGCGCCACTGACGTGCTTCACCGACCTCTAAGAA